AAAACCCTAAAGCCCTAAACCGTGCTGCTCGGAACAGGTGCAGTCACAAGGCCCTCGAAAAGGCGAAATCGCAACAAAAAAGTAACAAAAAAACATAATTAGGGTTTAGGGGTTTAGGGTCTAGGGTTTAGGGTTTGGGGTTTAGGGGTTTGGGGTTTTGGGGGTTTGGGGTTTGGGGGTTTAGGGTTTAGGGTTTAGGGTTTAAGGAGGTTTTAGGGCTTTTAGGGTTTAGGGTTTGCGAACAACGGCAAGACACAGATTCTCTCACTCACCCAAGGCTCGGCGGACCCAAGAGGGGGTCAAGCATCACTTCACCTGGGTCTTAGGACCGTGTTTCGAAGGAAGGAAGGATCCTTTCAAAGGGAATCCTTTCAACCAAAACCCTATACTTTAGGGGTTTAGGAGGTTCAGGGTTTAGGGCGTTGGGGGTGTAGGGGTTTAGGGTGTAGGGTTGGAGGGTTTCGGGATTTCCCACCTGAACCCTAAGTGCTAAACCCTAAACCCTGAACCCTAACCACAAGAAAAGCAGAAAGGCCTCCAGCACTTGACCAAGGCTCTGTTCGGAAGGCAAATCTGCATGGTGTAGACGTTCACCTTCGTTGAGGGCTCAGGGCACCCTAGGCCTTAGACCCTGGGTTTAGGGTTTAGGGTTTTAGGTTTAGGGTTTAGGATTTTAGGGTCTGGGGTTTAGGGTTTTAGGTTTAGGGTTTAGGATTGAAGGGTCTAGGGTTTAGGGTTTAGGATTTAGCGTTTCAGGGTTTAGGAATTAGGGTGGGTTCATGAGGAGGGCTCATCGGGACTTACGGGGTCAGCGTTCACTGGCTCGTTTTGCGTTCTCATGCGTTTAGAGTGTGCCAGGCCTGCTTGTGATGGTGTTGTTGATGATGGTGACGACAATGATGATAAGGAAAAGAACACGGTGGCGAATGCTGAACAGCATTTGATATTATCTTTAGAATTAAGAACATACACAGAAAAGTGATTGATGGAATGCTGGAGCACCTAGACACAGAATAATGATACGGTTGGTGATATAAGTCCTGCATTACCCATAATGAGGAAGATACCATAATCCCCATAGTTTAGGGTCCTTAGGGTAATGCAGGATTTATACCATCAACAGTATCCCTGTATCACCCCTACCTATTTCACTATGATGTAACCCGGCTCTACTCACGAAGGCCCTGATGGAAACAGGACCTGTGCCAGCCACCGAGGCTCAACAACCGTTGTAATCAATCAGGGAATGCACCCTCAGTGAAGTGGGGGGGATGATATAAGACATGTTCTTGAGTAGGGATGGCGCCTGCAGGCTTTAAAGGGATCGCAGTTAAATGTGATGTAAGCAGTTGTCTACCTTAAGGACGAAATAACCCTTAAAAGTAGGGGCCCTATACTCTTATACTGTTAATATGAAACCCTATATGGTATATGAACCCTAAACCCTTTCAGGGTTCATTTCGTCCTTAAGCCTAAACCCTAAACCCTCAACCCTAAACAACCTAAACCCCCTAAACCCTAAACCCTAAAACGCAAGCAGTTCGCTAGGAGCCCAAGATGCCAAAAACCCCAAAACCATAAAACCATAAAAAAAAACCCAAACCCTAAACCCGACACTGAACCCCGAAAAGTAGGTAAAGTAATGGCCCAAGACTTGCCAAAACCTAGGAAGGGCTATTATTCTACATACTTTGGGGGTCCCTAAACCCCAAAACCCTAAACCCCCAAACCCAAAAACCCTAAACCCCCGAACCCCAAAACCCGACGCGCGTAACACCTGGCCGTCAGCGCGTCGCCGGAATAGGCTCCCAGCCGCAGCATACCTTGGTCCCTGTTTACGGTTCCGGGATCCGGGTTTAAGGTTTAGGGTATAAGTTTTAGGGTTTATAGGGTTTAGGGTCTTAGGGTTTAGGGTCTTAGGGTTTAGGGTTTAGTTGGGGTTTCGGGGCCTAGGGTCTTGATCTAGGGTCTGGGGTTTAGGGTTTAGGGTCTAGGGTTTACAGTTCCGGGATCAGGGTCTGGGGTTTAGGGCTCTAGGGTTCTGATAGAAGGCAGGCAAGAAGGTACGTGTCCTTTTGATAGGCTCGTTCGACGTAGTCGGGTTTTAAGTCCGATTCGTAAGGTTCCGTAGGAATCACAAGACACAAAAAGAGTTTCCAACAGAAAGACAAAAGCCGGGATGCCTAACATCGACCAAGGTGCTGGAGGGCACTGGGAAGGTGCCGATCCTTCGTTAACCACCTGGGCTGGTACTTGGGTTTTCAAGGGATGTGCCTTGTGTAGCCTGAGGCCTATCTCTCTCCGAGCCTTTCCTGGTTCCCTGTTGGGCTTAGGGTTTAGGGTTTAGGTTTTTAGGGGTTGAGGGTTTAGGGTTTAGGGTTTAGGGT